GCAACGGCACCCGGTAAACCACGCACATGCGTCGCAGCGATCTTCACCGCCAACGTTGAACTAGGGCAATCTGTGCCGGCATCTGCCCGAATACGGCTACCCCAACCAGTCGTTTAAGACGCTGCATCCCAAATTACGACATCCGGCTACCTCCAAGCTTCAAAGCACAATCCCACGTGCGCCCAGCTCCCCGTCGTCTACGCGAACAGGATCATCCACTACTTCAATATAAGGTAGCTCGCCCGGTATTGAAAACTTTAGACGAACATCCTCCTTTTCTGTTCTCCTGTCTTTTTGCAACCCATCGGCTCACCAACTCGGAACCATGTCTCAATCCATCAGTGTGTCAACGACTCAGGCCCAATCTGGTATATCCCAGGATCTCCGGAATAACATCTACTCGGCCCTACTCTCCGGCGATGGCATCCGCAATATCGAATCCACTCTTGATGAATCCTTGCGCGTCTCTGGCTTCAAAGATGCTCTGAGAGCCTACATTACCGATCTCTTCCGCTCAGGCCAAGCCACTACCTGCGAGGAAGCCCGGAACCTGGCCATGCAGAAAATCAGGGAGCAGACGCGTGGTCTGGGCGAGGATTCCAACGGAGTGAACGGAACTACGAATGCGAATGGCGAGAGTGGGGAGGAGGTCTACTTGAAGATTCCCAAGTCGGTAATCGACGCCGGTGCAAAGACGGTCATGAAGGAGTTGGAAAAGGTGTGCGACATTACATACGAAGACGACAAGTGATTGCTCTCGCTCGCATGAATAACCCGTATTTTAAAACGCAGCAATACCAGAAACCGGTTTGCCAGTCTATGCATCGGAGGACAAAATGCAAGAACAAGAGCTCAACACATGGCCGTAGCGAACAGCAGTATCGACGGCACAGTCGACGTCGCGTACGCGACATCCTCAAATAGTGCTGGTGCGTCCCGGACCTTGTTGTGAGAGATACCAACATCACCTTGCATCTCCGATAAGCACTCCGCTGCCACTCAGACACTTTGTATGTCAGCGATGTCTGGGCTTGGCGACTGGGTCGGACATGAATGTATGAGCAGGAAGAGTTTGTGACAAAACAGGGGTGTGAAATAGATGTCGGTGTAGAGTTGAGCAGCACAGTAGCAGAACAGCCGTGGAGCACAAGTTCATTGATAACATGCATTCTCATTCAGGCCATTGGTTCGTCAAAGACACTACTGATATCTCGTCAAAGCGCCGGCAATTACGCGCGCCTCCATCTATGTATGGGGCATCAATAGCCCCTCATGCCATGTGATGAAAAAAGAAACCCATTCGTCATGATTTTCATACTCACTCGTTCCAGCTATTAGCTGCAACTTTCTAGTTGTACAAATCCTCGTCCTCGCCACCAGCACCAAAGGTGTTTTGCTCACCACCGCCCGCCGCATTCTCAGCGTCGGGGAAGCGGAAGAAGCTTGAACCTCCAGAGTTCTTCATTGACTGTGCAAAGGCCTCGTATCGGCGGATCTCAACATCGGTAACGGAACGACGAGCAGAGCGCATAGCCTCCTCGAAGTGAGCCTTGGTCAGCACAGGTACTGGGTCCTCCTCATCAACTTCCATATCAACATCTTCACCAGCAGCCTCGCGAGCCTTGCGGCGCTCGATATCGATTGCAATAGACTGCTTGATGGCGAGCTTAACAGCACGCTGGGTAACGAAACCAAGATCAGCACCGGAGAATCCGTGGGTATTCTGGGCGATGAAGTCAATGTTGACATCCTCAGCAACAGGAGTCTTGCGCAGCTGAGCCTTGATGATGCTGGCACGCGAGGCCAGATCGGGTAGAGGAACGTAGACGAGCGTGTCCAGACGACCAGGACGGCACAGGGCGTTGTCGAGCTGCTCCGGTCGGTTGGTAGCGCCGATAACGAAAACATTCTTCTTTGATGTCATACCATCCATCTCAGTCAGAAGCTGGTTGACGACACGGTCGGACGCACCACCGGCATCTCCTTGAGATCCACCACGCGACTTGGCAATGGAGTCCAACTCATCAAGGAAGACAACGCAAGGTGCGGCGGCACGGGCCTTGTCAAAGATGTCTCGGATGTTGCTCTCTGACTCACCGAACCACATGGAAAGTAGCTCGGGACCCTTGATGGAGATGAAGTTGGCCGCGCACTCGTTGGCAACAGCCTTGGCAAGAAGCGTCTTACCAGTACCAGGAGGACCGTAGAACAGTACACCTCGCGAGGGAGACATACCGAACTTGAGGAACTTGTCGGGGTGGTCGACCGGGTACTGCACAGACTCAATGAGCTCGCGCTTGACCTCTTCCAGACCACCAATGTCCTCCCACCGAACGTTAGGAACCTCAACCACGGCCACTTCACGAAGAGCCGAAGGGTTAGAAACACCAAGAGCGAAACGGAAGTTCTCCATGGTCACACCAAGCGAGTCGAGAACCTCAGCATCGATGGTGTCCTCATCCAGATCGATGAGATCCATCTTCTCACGAATCTGCTGCATAGCAGCCTCAGAGCAGAGTGATGCCAAATCCGAACCGACGTATCCGTGAGTCTCAGCAGCAATGGTCTGTAGGTCGACATCGTCACCAAGCTTCATGTTCTTGGTGTGAATCTGCATGATCTCGAGACGACCAGTAGGGTCGGGAATACCGATGTCGACTTCACGATCGAAACGTCCGAAACGGCGGAGGGCGGGGTCGATCGAGTTGGGTCGGTTGGTGGCGGCCATGACAACGACGTTGGAGCGCGCCTTCATGCCATCCATGAGAGTGAGCAGTTGCGAGACGACACGGCGCTCGACTTCACCGTTGGTCTTTTCACGCTTAGGCGCGATTGAATCGATCTCATCAATGAAGATGATCGCTGGCGAGTTCTTCTCGGCCTCCTCAAAAGCCTTTCGCAGATTTGACTCTGATTCACCGGCCATCTTGGACATGATCTCAGGACCGTTGATCAGGAAGAAGAAAGCACCAGTCTCGTTGGCGACGGCACGAGCCATCAGCGTCTTACCGGTACCGGGGGGACCGTACATCAGGATACCACGCGGGGGCTTGATACCGATGGACTTGAACAGCTGAGGATGCCTCAGCGGCAGTTCAACCAACTCTCGGATCTGTGCCATCTGCTTCCTGCAACCACCAATATCGTCGTAACCGACCTCGTTGAGGTTGCCCTCCTCGTCCTCACGCTGAATAGGCTCGCCCTCGCAATGGATGACGGTATCTTGTGCAACAATACCAAACTCCGGTGGGTCGACCTCGACAACCTTGAACTCCACTTGTCGCATACCACCGCGGGCTGTGAAAGTGTCGCCTTGACGAACCGGTCGGTAGGCTTCGCGGAAGTATGGGGCAAGGAAAACGTCGAACAGCGATCCGGTGATGCCCTCGACTGTGTCGGCGATGGGGAGAACTGCGATGCGCTTGGCCTGCAAAAGTTGTTAGTCTCGATTTTACCATGACTGGGACTGAGAATACATACGTATTTGATGTCCGGGCACGGGTGAATGGTGATAACATCACCGTGCTTGACACGCAGGTTGTGGCGAACGACACGGTTTATCCGCGCGGAGCCGTCATCAAGATCGTCGTCTGCAAGCACGATGAGGACGGTGTCCTTCCGCTTCTTGCCCTTGACGAGAACTGTGTCACCACGGAAGAGCTGGAGAGTCTCCATGGTGTTGTTTGAGAGAGCGATAATCGAGTTGTCATCGTTGACGGCGTCGGTGACACTGAGAAAGTTAGGAGAGGCCTCTCAAATCGCTTCCTGGAGCACCTACATCAGGGAGTTTGGCTTCTTCTTCTTCTTGAGGATGGCAGTCGCGGTCTCATCGTTCTGTGGCGGGTCAGTAAGGGCAGGCGCAAAAAGGTGCTTCGCGGTGCCTACATCCTTGGGCTCAGCGCCGTCGGGGTTCCTGAGATGCTGTTAGTCGCTGCCGCAAGTGCGGAAGTGGTGGCAAGCGACATACTTTGAAAGGTCCACCTTGGGCTTGGAGTGGTCTGGTTCAGCCGACATCTTGCTGATGTGTCTCTATGTAGTTCTGCGAAATTACTTTTTCAGTGCAAAGAGAGACAGAAGTAATTGCAGCGCGGTTAAGGGGGTGGTGAGTGGTGTGGGGGGGTAAGATGGAGATGATGGATCTCCGGTGCTTGGGGCGTCGTGGTTTAAGTAAGTTGGAGCTTGAACAGTCGGTGATCTCACTGCTCGAGCTAGCTTGATGTTGCCTTAGGGTCCGTGCTCCTTCCGCCGCAACATTGGAAGTTGCTGGAAACGCTTAGACAAGCGGACCTACTAAGAAACACTGTGTCCCTTTCACCGCGGATTGCTTGCCGCCACCCTCGCAAAGTCCTACAAGGGCCAGCTCGTGCCACTACCCGCGACTCCAGAGTGAGACTGGCGTTGTTACGCGTCCGACTGGAGCCTGCTGCAGCCTCATATTACGCCACCAGAGGAAGCGCCAAGAGAGATGCTCCATATCGGCCCTTCGTCAGTGCGCGATAAGTAAACCTACATGTCCGCCACGTACGGTACAACACGACAGTATCTACAAGCATGTGCGCCTTCCACTGATACTCTTGGATAGCACGCATATCTAAGAGGGCAACTCTCACCAGGCAAAGAAGAAATATTTGCTGTTTCACGTCATGCTAGATCTGTGTCTAACGGTTTATCGATAAGATGCGGATCCGTCTTAGTTGGCTGCTTCGTGATTCTCGCTACGGCAGCCAGAGTGAAGCACCAGGTGGTACTGCGTTTCGCAGCTTATCCCCACTACCAGTCAAGGAAGAAATACGAGCTTCGCTGGAAATAAAACGGGCGTCTCCAGGAGCTTGCAGGTTGACTCTGATCTCGTCAACTTGCATGTCTCCTTTACCTCACGTGTCTGACATTTCCTCGTCCTTTTCGGTCTAATCGCCCGTTTATTTACAGTCAGCTAGTGAGTGAAGCTCCCAGCTAAACATTACTCTCGCAACGACGAAGGCTCTCTATGCTAGATCTACCTACGCGTCCTGATGTTGCATCCCATGAGAAGCTACACATGCTTTCTTCTCTATGTCGCGCAAGCAAGGCGCTTCGAACATGTTCGCGTATACAATGTTCTTCATAGTGCCAACAGCGACAAGCAGCCAGAGCACAACGACACTAATTCCAAGTATCGTTCCTATAATGCTAAAGAAAGCGGAAGGAAGTTCTTTTCCTATGGTAATGGTAGACATTGTAAAGACGCCAATAGGAAAGGTGAAACCCCACCAACCCATGTTAAAAGGGAACTTGTTTCGACTGATCGACGCGACAGCGAAGAACAACCATACCAGACCGAAGCCCCAGAGTGTGATAGCGGTCATCCAGCCTAGTACGTAGAGGACCTCCCCAGCTACTGGGTGCAAGGCTTTTGTATCTGGGAAGGTCTTCGAAGCTTGAATGCCGAGTTTCAAAATTGCGTATCCGCCCTGGCCCATAGGGCCGAGAGGCAAGAAGACGCTGACGATAACCTCCTGAGATGGAAGGTTATGAATGGCAAGACGATGGAAGTATATAACCATTATCACGAGTGCCAGAGGTAGACCCATGCCCCAAAGGACATAGCTGGTGACTATGGTGATAAGGGCGTGATTCGGGTCAGGCAAGACCGAGGCGACAACGCTGCCAGAAGCTGCTGCAACGATACAGGCCACGATCGGCAGAAGCCAGGCTGCTGTCATCGTCTCATGGCGGTTATGATGTTTGGTCATCCTGCAGCTATATTAGCTGGTGGCGTTCTCATATTCCTCGCAATAACAGAAACACTTTGAGGCGAGATGTTGAGATTCAAGCGATAAACATGGTCAACTCACATCTGGAAAGGTAGCCAGAGGCAACAAGCAACGCTGAGTGCGACGTCGAGCCACCACATGCCCCACAAGACGTATGGTGTCAAGCCAGCCCATTTTGGTACGCAAACAACGGCGAACATGTTGACGATGGTAGCAAATCCCATAGGTATTGTGCCAAGAAACAGCGACTGTACTGGATGACGAAGCATCAGAATCCATATGGCGGGATACAGTGTGTATCTGAGGACTGATGTCATGAGCATGGTGAAGAATATGATGACGTTGAGTATGAAGAAGGCGATGCTCAGCGCTCTCAACGAGCGATGGTAATTAGGGTAGAGCTCCGAGAAGGTATGAAACAGGACCGCGACGATGCCTGTACCCATGGTGACGGCGAACTGAGGCTCATTTAGTCTCTCATTACTCATAAACTTCAGTATCTGACGATGCTACATACCCATGCAGGTGTAAAGTTTTGGACAATACGTCGCCAACCCCGACGGTCCGCTGGAATGAGCCATCTGGGCAGTGCTTGGCCATCTGAAAGCGCGGCTCGACCACTGCACAAATCAGTTGGTGTTGCCCGAACTCCATGCTGTATCGCACACGGCGTCGACATTCTGATGCGAAAGTTGAGGATGACAGTGATGAACTTGAGGTGATCGAGGGTAAAAGATTAAGATCAAACATAACGCGGAATCCGCTCCTCACTTATGCAAATTCTCACAGCTTAGAGTCATCGAAATCTCAGGCTAGGCTTTATTTTCTTCAGGATGGCCTGCATTTTCATATAGATCTGCTGATAGCTTTGCTTACACAGACCATGACGGCCGGATCCTCGGCGATGGCCCGAAATTCGATACGTCAAAGGTACATGACTCAAAGCATGTCAACAGCGCGCAAGGGAAGAAAAATAGTTTTTGAACAATGAAACTCGTTTGTATTCGAGGTCGTATGATGTTTGTTTACCAAAGACTCAAGCAGAAGCGCTTGGGCAACATTGAGAGCTTCAGAGTAACTGAGTCTAGCTGATTGGGGTCTAGATCGAGATGCGGCTTCCGGAAGTACTCCACGAACCTGTTCCTGATCTTCGCACACGACACCCGACAGACCTTTATTTCTGGAATGTAGTGTCTCAATCTGCAATGCGGAGTTATAGTCATGCTCGAGCTGCACCTGCTACCACTACTACACACACTTCTGTTTGCCTCCTGAAGCAACATCAGGCACTTGGTTTGTTAAGGTACTTAGGTACTGTGGTCAGGGACTTATTGTTATCCCTTTCCAAGGCCTATATGATGTATCTGATGCTTTTGGGACTGTTGTTTGATAATGATACTACAACACGTCTAACTTCTGCAGGTTCGAATTGGTAGCATTGATGTTTGCATTTGCCATCATGATCTTTTTTTGATCCAGATCAAAAACGATGTAAGCTCCTTGCATGAATGGAGCGCCTAGGCTTGCTGTATCATCCCCATCTGGAGAAAACATCGATAGGAAACATTCAGTCGTGCCCGAAGACGAATCTCGAACAAACATCGCAGCCAAAGGAGTGCTGATCTTCGCTTGGTTGTTGTTGAAGCCGAATGAGAGGCTCTCTCCGCGAGAGCCAAGATTACACGGCACACTGCCCATCTGACCAGCTTGATCGTCAAAACTCGCACCTATAGCCATGGCCATGGCGCGTAGAGAAGCTGATGAAATGTTCAGCGAGGGGTTTCCAGTGTCCATCAACGCCGGAGGGAGGCCGTCCCGTGGTGCTAAGTCCACGTTGGATCTCGAGGAGGATGGGTTGCCGCTGACCAACTGCATGGAGCTGAAATCGATCACAAATTGCGACGCAACGCCTCTATTGTTCAACAAAAGTGATCCTACATCTTGGAGCGGGCTTTGGAACTTCGCGGTGTCAACACTGCCGAACACAATAGAGCCCTCTGGACTGCCTGTCAAGAGGATACCGATATCAGCCTGGCATTCATTCGAACATTTACTATGCTCAACTTGCGGAAATCGTTCATGAAGATACCATATACATTGGTATTGATAGCACCAGTATCCTTGAGATTGGCCAATGTATTCTGGTACGGTGGCTGGACAACTCCGTTCTCAATAGGACCGATACCGAATATGGAAAAAAGTGGATTCCCAGAAGGCAGCAAACCTTGCTCGATGACTCTAGGTTGTGAATCCGACACACTTTGGTTATCGAGCGTCAGTATTGTCTTGATGAATCCTCCTTGGAACACAGCACCGTTTGCAAAACTCGTGTTGAGCTCTGTATTGGCATCTGTAATACTAGTGTCACGATCCGTATCGAACGAACCAGTGACGAAAGGTGTGCCAGAGCATTGCTCCTGTTTGTCTTGACAGATTTCACTGCCTGTCCCTGAAATGATGAGATCGCTACTTCCCGTGTCCAAGATCGCCGTTATCAGCTGTGGTGGAGTACCGACCCCCATCGAAACAAGAGGGATGAAAGGTCCCGCGTCATCGATATTAGAGTGCTTTATCGGTATCGATATAAGCTTGGGAGTTTGCGCCTGCGCAATGTGCCTAATGGATAAAAGTGATATACATAAGATGACTGTATCTAATCGGGGAGACATAGTGAAATGACTTAACGAAGGCGCTGAAGGAAGAACTGACTGATGATTGTGGACGATGATCTGAAGTCATGATTTGGTCGTGCCTATCTTTCTAAACTATTCTTATAAGCACATGTTGCCGGGTACCGGATAATTCTTGAAGAGTTCGTATCTCTAAACCTTTCTGCATGTGCATGAAGGGCCGTCTTGACGACGTTTTGGTGCGCTAGTTGTTCATAAACAGAGACTACCTGGGGAGTAAGGGCACCGCCCATTGGCCAGCCCGGTACCAGTTGTATGCATGTTTCTAGGGTCGCTAGGAATGCTTCCATTGTGGCGTTGGGTCTGACGGCTGTTAGAGGTGTCAAAAAGATCATTATGCCGGAGTGGCTCTGGGCTTGGACATCTGCATTGAGCTTTTCGATAACCATACTATGATGTGCCCTGACTAGAGCCGGTCCGATGTCACGGCTGGTAATGTCCCGGGTATAGCGCATGGATAGCTTATTTGAAATGCTGTTTCGACTTTCCCTAAGCTAGCTTGAAACACCTCAAGGCATATGATACTAGGTACAGACAAGAGCAAAAAAGGCAAAAAAGAGAATTATTCTCCCCACCATGAGTCGAACAAGGGACCTTCTGATAACAGCAGATATTACAGTCAGACGCTCTGAACCAACTGAGCTACGGGGAGTTTTTCTTTCGATAAAGAATTTTCACTGTGTTTAATTTATGAAGTTGATTATAGACATGGGATATTGTCCCTTATGACCAAGTCGGGGCCCATGTGAATATTGGCGTCAAACAGCCTGGTGCGCTGAGCATGCAACACAATCGAGTGGCTGTATCGCATTCAGCTCTCTACATCTCGTGCTCTTATCTGAGCAAAGCTTTTCTTAGCCTAGTGATTGTAGCAGCTTTCAGGTCCGAGCTGAGCCTCGTTATTTCGATCTGTGTGGACCTAGGGACACAGGTACGAAAGAAAAACAAGATGGATTGCTTGTCTGATCAGACGGCCAGTTTAGAAGCGAGCTCGCGGTGTGTCATATGACATCTAGCCCCTCCACACAGCCTCAAGCACGCACATGAAGCTCAACGGATCAGCTTCAACCCTAACAACATCGTATCTCTCATCAGCCTGCTTGAAGATGTCCTTCCACGCCTCTACTGGCCTCTCCTTCGCGTTGAATAATGCCATCATCCTCAGATCAGTGGCTGTGCCAAAGCCCTGTATACTCCTTGGCAGCTCCTCGTTGCTCGGCTCCTGCTTGCCCACATAATCGATGAAAAGAACGCGGGAACCGGGCCGGAGTGCGGGACGGAGTGCTTGCAATATCTTCACTGACTCAACGTCCGGCCAGTCATGTAAGATCCACTTGAGCATGTAAATATCCGCTTGTACAGGCTGTGGATCGAAAAGGTTGTGTGTGAGAAACGAGACGCGCGATCTTAATTCGGATGGGAAGTCTTTTTCGAAGACTGGAGCGACTTCGGGGAGATCTTGGACTACGATCTTGAGGTTAGGGAACTTGGTTGCAAGAACAGCATCGTCGTGACCAGCTGAACCACCGAGCTGATATTGTTAGTGTCAGGATGAGGATCAGGTCTAGGTATACTCACGTCAACGACCGTGACTTCTCCCTCTGCCTTCCAATCGATGGCTTCGAGTACCATGTTTTCGGTGTGGAAAAGATCCTTGATATAGGCCATGAACTTGACGAAGTTCCTCTGTCGCCAGCCCTTCTTCTCACCCTCGCCATCGTTTTCGATAAACTCCCAACTGGTCTCATAGTCACCCCAAGCTTCACCGCCAGAGTGACACAGCCTAAAAGCAGTCTCTTTTATGTCCTTGCTTATCTCAGGTTTTCCCTGCGAAAAGCGTCGCAAAGCTTCCGGAAGCAAGAACATTGGGGGACCCGTTTCGTCCAACACCATCTGCACGAGTGCAGATAAGCCAGAGTCTTTGGCTAGTGCAGCAGATCGTGAGCTATGTTTGACTGAGGTCGATGTGGGCGAAGGTTTGTGGAAGAAGCGCATTGTAACAGCATGGTCGATGACACGACTCACCACCTCAAGAGGGAGCTTGGTATGCTTTGCTATATCCTCAAATGTCGCTTCGCCATCGACTGGCACCGCACCCCAAAAGTCAAACTGGTTGAGGACGTTCAAGCATGCCGTGTCTGGAATGGCCATGTGTACGTAGTTAAACACGCTCTCACTCGGCCCTTGGCTTAGAATCCACATGTCCTTCAACGCGTCCTCAAGCAGTTGTCGGGTCATGAAAACATGTCCCGGGAGTTTCTCGTACTTGATCGGACTGTGGGCCTCAAGAGTGACTGGTGTCACATTTTCAGCCTCCAGCTGCTTCGTCATCTTAGCAGCCAGCTCGCTAATCTGGGCTGCTAGGCTGTTGAGCGTTGCGATCTCATGTTGCTGAATAGAACCCATGTTGCCGTATTTGGATGCCTAGAGTTAGTAGAGGGATATGTCAAGATTGAGAAGCAAATATGGCTGATATATATTATATCCCACCAGTACTCATATAGGGGCGCTCTCCGTCATCGGAGTACAAGAAATCCGGAGCATCGTCCGTATTAAAGTCTTTTCTCGTCATGCTCTACATCTTTGGCTCAGGTATGTTGGCTAGCTAAGAACGATCGCAAGACTACAGACAAGATGGCTTATGATTGGCGCGATCTGAGGACCGGTCGCTTAAACAGGTCTAAGGCGAGAGACCTAATCCGAGGTCGTGTCCGTAAGTATGCACACTTATGGCATGATGTTGTAGCCATAGCATCACCAGTGGAACGACGATGCTGCCCATCAGCGCTAATCTGATCATCTTATCAATCTGATAAGATTTTTCATCTCCGAAAGCCTGGGCGCCAAGGTAGTGTACTTTGCCAGCTGCCGCTTCGAGGCAATTTCCCATATGATGCGACGTCAGGGTGGGGTGCGATACGAGCGTCGCGGAGCACATCGCGATGTCTGCTGAACGTATAACCAATGGTTTCCGAGCTTCAGTAAAGTGCAGAAGATCATGTGTGGCTGGGGGACAATTGAAGTTACCTGGGTAGCTAGGGAGCGAAGAACTGGCTGCTTAAGCACCGAGCGAGACCCGAGGCACCGAGGTTTTGGCCAACAGAACGTACATAGTAGATTACACAAATAAGACCAATTTATATCGACAGCAACCAACTACCTGCCTATATGGAGTGAAACCTCCATTTCGTTGCTACGACATTGTAATGCACTTTGTTTGTTTTTGGATACCTCCAGCAATCTGGATTGGGACGAAAAGCGAGTGTGATTTGATGTAAGACATGTGTCGCATTCTTCATTCAATACGAACATCTAGCACCATGACTCAATGATTACATTGCGACTCATGCAAGGCTTCAAGAAACCGCTTCTAAACTCCACGACGCTATGCAAGCACAAATGCATCGACTTTCAATTAAACATTTGATCCCAAGAAATATAGTGAAATCAACAACTTACTTCCTTCCAATGAGCTTGCTGAGCCCACTCTTCTTCTTGCCATCCTTCTCCTTCTGACTCTCCTCCTTTTCTCGAGCATCCTCGGCGGCACGCTCATCCCTTGTTGGAACTCTAGGTTGATCTGCGAAACGGATACCAGGCGTGCGTGGCGTAGGTGAGAGCGTCTTTCGGCTTGGCTCAGCGGCGCGCGAGTGTGTACCACGACCAGTCTCGAGTGGATCACCAGTTTCTTCATCTTCAGAATCAGATTCGGGAGAATTGTCTTTACCTACACCAAGGGCCCCCAGACGACGCCTGCGCTCTGCCGCTGTTTCGCCTTCAAACCCTTCTTCTGGTTGCTGCGATGGCGGCAGAATAGCGGAACCGCCTGAAGTTTCAGCTGGTATATTCTCCGCAGCTAAGCGACGTCGGCGCTGTGCAGCGGTTTCGCCACCCTGATCGCTGGGTCGGTTTTCGAGATCCTGGCGTACGGAGTGGAAGGGAACATGCTCATCGTTACTGTCCACTAATGTCAGACCTTCGGGGCCCCGACGGTGGCCTTCTTCCTTGGCCGCTGGCGATTCGATCTTATGGAGTTCGGCCTCGCCCTCTTCTCCAACAACCGGGGGCACATTTGCTTGTACCGAAGCTGCACGGCGGCGCTGTTCCGCAGTGTGGTCCTTGGCATCTTGGTGTGCGGCATCTTTGACGGCCTCGGGGACATCGCTAGCTTGTACAAACTTCGCCCTGTCTTTAGGATTCATTTGCGACATTTGTTGGATGAACTCAAGCTTGCTCATCCGACGGCCACCAGCTGTTACGGTGAAGCGGAGTAGATCGTCGTCTTCTTGCTCTTTCGCTGCGGCTTCCGCTGCTTTCTGTTTCTTCTTGTTGTTATTCGCCGCTTGAGTGCCAGATGGTCCAGCCTGTTGTGCTGGAACACCCATGTGGGTTCCCATTCGCTTGAGACTCTGAACGGCACGACTAGACGTCTCTACCATAGATTGGCCTCGATGATTGGCAGGTCGGCCATCCTTGCCCTTCTTTGGAGCGGCCGGTATGTCGTACTTCTTCAGGACCTCGCCATCCTCATCCTCAACAATAATGGTATTACCATATTGGTATGCGAGGGCGGGGCCGTTCTTGTGGCTTGGTTTCTGGGCTGGCTTCTCTGCCTTTGGTGGTTCTGTGGCCTTTTCCTTTTGACTCTGGCCCTTGTAACTTTGCATTCGGTTGCGCCAGGTTTTATGAGGGTGCTCAATCGCGTTTTCAATGCGACTGGGTGCTTCTTCGAGTGCGCCGCCATGCTCATCTTGCGACACGCCACCATGGACATGCTTTGTGCGCATGAGCTCCTGCGCCCTCTCACGGTCATGCCTTTCCCTCTCCGCACC